ATACTTTATAATCACGAGGCAACAAGTAAAAGGATAAATAGAATAATTAAAATTACATAGAATGATTAAAAATTAATCACAATGTATTTTTTGACTTCATGGAATTTATGCATTGCTCATCTATAATAAGCGATAAAACAGCCTCATATGCCCCAGGCTTAAAGTTTTTCTTAGAACGATTATTGTTCATTATCTTGATGGTTAGTTTTACACTGTGAATTTGTTTTCAGTAAAAATATAGAACAAAGACAAAAAAAACTTTTCAAACATGTTTTAATTGTAAACTGTCATTACAAAATAAAAAAAAACTATAAGAAGCAAAGAAAATGAAAGATAAAAACGTTAACGACAAACTAGTTCTTTCTACAATTAATCATAAGTTATATTTTGCGCTTAAATGTTCTAAACATAAAAAAATAAATTAAAAAGAAATAATTAACTAAGATATATTTTTTTTTATCTTTAAGGTTATCTAGTCCCAGGTTCATAAAACATACTTAGACTGAGGTCAAATTTTTAATTGTATGTTTAATCTTTATTCATTATTTAACGAATCTCTAATTTTGAAGATTACAACTCTTTTGTAAAGCAATATTATAAATTATTTTAATTCTTGTCTACTTGACTGAATCAAAATTATATTATAACATGAATATTTTGACTAAAGATTAAGAAGTTTCATGATCCCGGGGCCAGAGCAATTAAAATTGAGTTCTCATAATATCAATGTAACTTTAAAAAAACAACACTTGAATAAACTAAAACCGGAATTAAACTCTATACATTTCATTATTGACCTTATTTAAAGCACGGTTACTTGAAAATAAAGGCATAAAATTACATTATTGTACAGAATGCCATTGTTAAAAAAAACAAAAACGCAAGGTCAAGCAAAAAAAAAAAAATAATTATAAGCTTAAAAACAAAAATTGGGAAAAAAATAAATTAAAAGACTAGGAGACTTATTGTTCACAGAACAATAAGAGGTCTTTCCACCTTCTTTGAATTTCAAATTTGTTTTATTCCTGACTCTTTAAAGTTAAATTCTATGAAAAAGAAACCAAAATTGTCTTAAATCATAGAAAAAATGAAAATAAAAAAAAATTGGAATGACCTTGACCTTCGATTTTGAAAAAATATTCAAGGTCAAAGGTCAAGGGTCACAAAGCAATTGACCCCATGCTTCTACGACTTATAGTTTTCAAGTTATAAGATTTAATAGTAAGTACATAGAATTTAAAGGGCAATAACTCATATAAGGGGTCATCAGATCCTTTTGCAATTATACAGTGAAGTTACACCTAGAGACCCTTAAGACATTAGTGAAAGTTTGGTGTCTTTATGGTGTACATTTTTGGAGGAGTAGCGATAACAAGGTTTTTCACACAAGGGGCAATAACTTTTTAAGAGGTTTAATCTTAGGGGACAAGAATGAAATCTTTGAAACAGTTTTAAATGTACATATTAATTATGCATAGACATTAATTATATGTTGAAAGACAAAAGAGACACAAAAGAGCTAAATTTCTCATTTTTGAAATGACCTTGACCTTTAACCTTTACATGAATTTTAAGGTCAAAGGTCAATAAATCTTATGCAGTTAGTCCCATGTCTCTACGACTTGTCGTTTTGAAAATTTTTAATTATTTGTAAAATTCAAAAAGTTTCAGGGGCAATAACTCATTGAAGGGGTCACTGAATGCTTTCGCAATGAATAGATTGAAGAATCCCCTTAATTAGTCGAAGACATTCATAAAGGTTTCATACCTCTGTGGTTTACGGTTTCTGAGGAGTAGCGATAACAAGGTTTATTGCACAAGGGGCAATAACTTTTAAAAGAGTTAATGTTAGGGTACAAGATTGAAATATTTGAAACAGTTTTAAGAGTACATATAAATGATGCTTAGACATTAAGTATACATTGAAAGACAAAAGAGATATAAAAAGAGTTTAATTTCTCATTTTTGGAATGACCTTGACCTTTGACCTTACATGAATTTAAAGGTCGAAGGTCAATGAATCTTATGCAGTTAGTTCCATGTCTCTATGACTTCTCGTTTTGAAAATTTTTAATTATTTGTAAAATTTCAAAAGTTCCAAGGGCAATAACTCATTAAAGGGGTCACCGAATGCTTTCGCAATGAATAGATTGAGAAGTCCCCTTAATTAGTTGAAGACATTGGTGAAAGTTTCATACCTCTATGATTTACGGTTTCAGAGGAGTAGCGATAACAAGCATTTCTTGCGAAAGGGGTAATAACTCTGAAAGGGGTCCAGGTTCATTTACGCAGGGTCAACTGCAAAAATCTTTTACGGAGTACATTCTTATGAAATAAAAATCTTTTCGATAAATCTTAAAACAAAAAAACACACGGCGGAAAAATAATAAAAAAGAAGAAACACAAGGAAATCAATAGGTCTTTCCACAGAAAGGTGGAAAGACCTAATAAACAATCTTGAAGAAATCGAAAGATTCAGTTTCAGTTCAGCAAGTAAGTTTCAAATTTCTCTGTAATGGGGAATATGGAGATCGCTGGTAGTGGCTGTGGTGGTGGTGGTTGGAGGGAATGTTACTTGTGAAAGTATGTTTTATCTATTCTTAATTTGCACGTCATGGAACAAATAAGGGAAAATGTCAACCATTATTATTAGTTTGTTTTCACTTCAGTTTTTTTTTCTTCACAGCTATTAGAGTTCCCTCCCTTTGTCTAACAGTTTGCATACACACTGTCATTCTGCATATATTCAGAAACGACATCATAGCAAAGCTGGTATTCCTCCTGAAAATAAAAATATGAAAATACAGTCCTTTTAGTACATACAAAGATAATTGTTTCCCATTTACCCTATAATGCGGATTCTTGATTTGTATAACCAAAATATATTTACACAAAGGAATAAACAACAATAAAAAGAGTAAATGGTTTATGCATTTACATGAACATGCAAGTAAAAAGGTACAAAAAACCTCAATATTCACTCCAAAGCAATGATACTTGATACAAAAAACCTTGATTCGACAATGTTATACCATTAAAGTAAATGTTAAGAGAACTAAGGCTGATTCCTATGTATTAATAGGAAAGCTTTCAAATGAATGTTTTTTGCTGTGCTATACTTAATAATCCTTATGAAAGTCACCCCCAAGGAATATTTGAGGCGAGGAACATTTTTCGTTGCCTTCTCTCAACAGATTGTCTAAAATGGCACGACTCAAACATTTTTTAACATTGCTGGATGGTATTTTTTTCTCATCCCGTCAACAAATATGTTAATTTTTCTTTCTTTTTTTTGGAAAAAAATTTTAATACCTAAATACCGACTAATTAATTTTATCCTAAGTCGGAAAAGGACAAGCAAAACTTATTTTAAATGTGGCCTTAACATTCCTAAGCAGACGAAATCCATCTTGCTTTCATGATTTATAACATATACATGTAGTATTCTGAATATCGTGTAATATTTTTGGTGAAAACCAGTGATATAATGTTGCTGAAATTAAATGAATCCAAATTTTAAAAAAATACCAAAACGATTAATTGAGACAAGTAAATTGTCTTAATTAAACCATATTATGATGAGCATAATATATTTTGTCTGAAAACTGAAATACGCTAAAGATTTCAAGGAACACTCTCCCTAACTTTTTCATGTTTATGCAATAATCAAAAATGTTAGGCAACTGAAATTCCAAAATCTAATTAAATGGTAATCAAAGACAACGCTTAATATTACAGTTACTGAAAAAACAAAACTTCTTACCATAGTAGACACAAACTCAGGTCTACGGATCTGCAGTTGTTGTGTGATGGTGAAGATGTCCACTTCCTGATCCATGGAGAGTTGTTCTAAAGCGTTATAGACTATGCAGAATGACCCGCAACGTGTGGCACCATCGCTATCAATATATAATTAGATTGTTGTTACTGTAATCATAGAGTTGTTTTCAGAGCATTATAAACCACACAGAATTATCCACAACGTGCACATGTATCTCCATCACTATCAATATACCGTTTAAGTAGAATTTTTAGCGAGGATTTAATTTTGGCATTATTAACGAGGCAGTTGAGATCGGTAACATTTAATATCGCTAAAAATAAATTGCGTTTTATTTGTACTAGCTTCTTTAGTGAGCACTTTGAAATCGCTAGAATTACTACTTGCTAAAAATAAAATACCTGTTTTTTAAGAAAAAATCGCTAAATTTGCGACTCGCTAAAATTTTCACTTATACGGTATGAATTTTAGATTATTGTTACTGTAATCATAGAGTTGTTTTAAAGCGTTATAGACTGGTCACATAGAATGACCCACAACGTGTGGCACCATCACTATCAATATATATAATTAGATTGTTGTAACTGTAATCATAGAGTTGTTCTATAGCATTATAAATCACACAGAATTATCCACAACGTGTAGCTCTATCATTATCAAACACATTCATATAACGAATTATATTGCATTAAATCCTGTGACTTGGAACGTTTTTTGAATAAATGTAATGTATTAGGCATCTTATGTGTAAACAGATTTGGCATATTGACGATCTGACGTAGATAAAACCTAAACTGCGATGCATTGTTAAATTGTTACTGATATCAATTGTAGATTTCCATCAGAATATGATGCAACAATTAACCAAATTTTCTAAGAGCTGAGATGTACCTTGACAAAACAAGTATTTTCCCCTCTTGCTTATCTTTCTCTGCTTTTGCTTCTTTGACTACGTCAAGCAGCACTCTTTTGTCGGTTAGGAACCTTCCCTCTTTCCAGGTCTTACATTCCAACACCGTCATTTTTATGTCACTGCTTCCCTGTAATTAAAAATGTCTGTTTTATGAAGCACATGGCCTTTGAATTAAGTTAGAAACAACTACTGTGAAATCACATATTTTCTGGTGGTCAGTATTTCGTGGTTTGAGGAAAAACTCTTCGTCATTGTGATTTGATTACATGTACGAGGATGATGAATTGTCGAGTTTTTAAGCATGTAACAATTTACAATTCGTGGTGAATCTCTTTATGCTTTGAAAACAACGAAAATTAAACCGGAAAGGAAATTTGCAATTTCACAGTATTTATTAGTATAAATGAAGTATAAATAAACAAACTTTTGGCTGCAGAACGATATTCCTGGTTGTAAAGTTGACTGAATTTGTTGATGTTGACAGATTAAGGACAAAACTGCCCACAGTTTTGTTTTCGGATTTTGATGGCACCCATAGGGAGGACTTGAAAAATAAGAAAAAGAAAAAGTTTTATGTGATTGTTTTACACAAGACCTTTATGTGTTTTAAGTACGGAAAACATTCTTTCATGAAATGTCACTTGCAAAATTTCCTTTGTTTACAGTATGCTTTACATCAAAATCGTCTTTTTCTTTCTGTATCTTTTCATAATATACTTGGCTGTCTTACAGATTTTATTTCCTTAAAAGGACCTAGGAAAACCACAACACGAGCATCAAAGTCTCTGATGAGTCTGATGAAGTCCTCAGTGTAGTCCGGAAGTGGGTACTGGGCGCTGATCAAACTGTCGTTCTCTGTGAAGGACTGGAATATAAATTTGTTTATCAGCTAGATCTTTTTTCTCATTATTACAAAATATGATTATTGAGTTATCTTAAAGTAGAATTTAAAATGGATTTCTTATTTAAATATTTTGAATATATTCATTATATATATCTAGTTTTCTGGTTTAATAAGCAAACATCATCATTTTTTCCTTTATAATTGAGATAACGGAGACATTTTAAAATATTTTGTCTTAGCTAGCCTTCAAACGTTTGATCGAAGTAAAAGGACATTATTAAATGAAATCAATGATTTCAAAATATGCATAAAGATTCATACCTGTAGTAGAACAGCATTGTAGTAGTTGTTCCTTCCCTTTACATAGGACAGGTAGCACATGAATTTTTCCACTGAAATGTGTGTTTACAAAAGATCAATATATATTTGAGAGTCGTTGTATGTAGAAACTAACAATCACATTTCATTTGCAGTTTTTGCCAAGTAATTTCTATTAACAATTAACTTATTATAATTAAAATTAGAAAATCAACCACTTATTACATTAATTTTTTTCTCGAGAAATGTTACTTCTAAAAATTAAACTTTTACGGAAATACAAGAAACTTAAAATTGATGAAGAGAATATTGAACAATACCCGGTAGAACACTCTCTGTGTAGTTTGCCGATATGTTTGTTTGTCCAGGCTCATAATCTTTCTCTGCATATTTTACCCGAAGAGACTGTAGACTCTGCATGAATTAAAATACGAATGAAAACATTCAATGCACAATTACATTCAATCTGATTAGTGACGCATGTAGATTTCTGCATTGAATTTGAACTATTACTGGTATCATCAAATGTTGAATGTGAAAAAAGTACACTCATTATTAATATTGTCTGACAAAAAGTTGTATGTGAAAAAAGTGCAATTATTATTATTATCATCTAAAGTTGTATGTGTAAATTGTACAATCATTAGTATTAGTATTATGAACTTAAGTTGTATGTTAAAATTATTATAGTACATTCGATATGTAATAATTGTGATTCATTTTGTAAGCCTTAAGAGTCAGGTTGTACCCGTATATGAATCAGATTGATGAAGAAACGTGCAATGTGTTTTTTTTTATGTAGGATGAATCTACCTGGAACTCTGACGTCAAGGCATCTGTATTTGTAACTTCTCCACAATTTGAGTAGCAGGATCCACCTTGAAAAATTTTCTCAGCTGTCCAACATTTCGACCTCCCACTGAACGATTCACAAAGGGCGAGATAAAGGACTCTGTACTGGTCCTGATAAAAAAAGGAAGATAATTGTAGATAAAAAACGTATATCAAATCTTTTTTTCTTTTTTTTTTAAAAAAAAATACTGGTAGAATATGAACTGTTGGGTATCATATTTAAACTTTAGACCACCAGAAATCAATGCCAGTGTTTCCTGACTTAAAGAAAGACATTTTAAAATTAAAATAACGTAGCATGAACAGTAGAATTGAAGGGGAGTTGTGTAGCACCGTGTTATTTCCTATTCATTATCATATAAATATTACTGATGATATAACTTTCAGGTGGAAAATTAATAATATTCCTAAGCCATTTTAAAATAAATTTGTTTGCCCTCTCAAGACTCAGGATATAATAATTTGGTCGGTAGGTTGGTATGAATTTTTCCCCCGAAAATTTCGAAATTTTGTTAACAAAATTGGGGAATTGAAGCGAAAAAATATTCTGTCCTAGAATGTAAAAAAAATATATAGAGGAAACATTTTTTGTCAATATTATTATAAGTTGTCCCGATTTTTTGTCACCTGTGTTTGCCGATAAAGAAATATGTATAAAAAAAGGATTTGAACGCGAATCTGATTGCAATATACATGTTAAAGTAAGCTTTTTTTAATAATGCTTATGTAAAGGAACGTCTTTAACAAATGTAATCATAAACAATTTAGTGAAAAACATTGCTGCAAAGGCTATCATAAAAAAAATCTCCATTTTAGTATAACCTGTAAACTTGTAAGATTTTTATTTATTTCAAACATCAAACTTCTCCCAACAAATGAAATTCTCAACGATTTAAATCGTCTTTTGAAAGATCTTGGCAAACAAGGAAATGTTTGAACATGCAATACAGGGAAGGTGCCTTGGTTGACAACAATGAGGCGATTGGAAAAAATAATTATCCTTTAACCTCTTCCTTTGTAATTAAGGAAAAATTTCGGAAGAAATACAACATGAAAATTACATAAGGGTACAGAGTAAGGAAACTTTTACAACTAATCACTATTTATCTCCTCATGATAGGTAATCTAAAAGGAAACATTGCTTTCGGTTTGTTTTATTGAAACAAAGAAAATAATCAATCATACTTCTATGTTACGATAGCTTTTGTTTACAAGAGACTAAACCATTTTACATAAAAATAAACACAATGCCTTCAAGTTGCAAAAATAAATAGAATGCAGAAAGTATTACGCATGTCCTTGCAAGTGCAGAAAATAAAATGTTGTGTCTCCCTATTCTTAAATTGCTTACGCTTATTTATTTATTCATTTTTCCCAGATGACAATACAAAAAAATGTCCAGATATTATGAGTAAAGTAAAAGCATTTAATCACATTTTATATGAGACCTACACTTTTCAAATTTGCTGAAGTAATATGAAATACAAATTGAAAGCTTTTTCCTTTTCAGAATGTCAGAATTAAGTACATGTGTTCTAGGGTAAGTAATTATATAAAAAATCTAAACCTACTTCCCCTTGTATCATGTTCATTCTGTCTTTTCTCATATTCCTGACGTACATCGGTACATTAACTCTACCATTTATCTCCCCTTCCCGGTAGAGGGCGTCTAGAGCTATGTATGTTCCGGTTCTCCCTATTCCAGCACTGAAAAAAAGGAATACATTATTTATGTTTATGTTATTAAGGTTCTTAATTCATTATCATTTACCTATTTTTTAGTAAAAGTGAAGCTTAATACATGTACAGCAACAATTTTACGAAAAGCGATCAATTAGAAAAGGGACTCTCGAAATATCAGAGGTGGGTGCCAAGAAGAGTAAATTATTAAACTACATGCACGACCGGACCACCTGAGAGTCCTTTGCATTGATAAGATAAAGAAATTAGTTTCATCCAACAGTAACCCAATGACCAAATAATTAAAATGAAACATACCATTCAAGCACACAAACCAGCAACAGGTTACATCTTACAATGCCATTAAATTAAACTCATTTTGCAAACCTGGATCTTGAATTTGAAATAAGCAATAAACGGTGATGTGCAACATGAAACCTGTCTCTTCTTAACAAATGTTTTTCTCTATGCACATTTAAACGTGGCAGGGAGACAAATTATAAATTTAAATCAGAACAGAAAAAAAGAAATAAACATATTCCACAGTTCCATCACATCTTTGAATATTTTATTTGATTTTGCAAAATAAACACTACCTGTATGATTTCATTCTGAATTTAGTTAATCTTGTGAATGTTAAATATACCAATGTTATGCTATTAAATTCGATTCAATCTGTTCTATAAAAAAAGTTTGCATAGTGATCCAAGTTTTGGGTCGACAATTGTAGTATAATTTGTAATTAATAATTATAATGGCATCCCTGGCATTTGAACTTGACTGAAACTATTCTATAATTAACATTTAATTCAGTGAATAACGGTTTGTATTATGCATATCCTTGAAGTTACAGTAGATTCATAAGGTACAAATACATGGCATGATAAAAAATAACCATTTGAAACTGTAAAACAATATCCATGTTTTAAGGTTAATATCATATGAAAGATATGCTAAGCACTGTGAATCCTTCTAGCTATAGATGTTTCAGCTACTTACATGTATCATCTTTTCTCTCCTTAAGGTACAAGATTTGTGGTTTTGCAGACAAAAATACTTAGATACTCATCTGTTTTAAAATTTTATTTTTTTCTGGTTGGTTGCCTTTCTGTGTCATAAAATATCATGGAATAACCTTGAATGAAAGTTGACACGCGCATGTGTTTGAATGAATAAGGGAATCGCCGAGTTATTGGAAAGTTTAATAGAAATCTTTGGCTTTTAGCATAAATTTTACATCAATACATGTAGTAATGCAAAAAATTAGACACTGCATTAAATGCAATACAAAATGCCTAATACTTTTGCATTCTGAAGTACATTAATATGCATACGAATGTACTTCTCAACATGTAATAGATTAAGACTTAAAGATTAAATGTGGCATTTAATGTCCAGTTTTATTCAGAATTTTTTTTTCGGCAAGATTTTGACAGAGTTCGAAAATCACCTTCTATTTCACGATTATTCGTTTGAAATTGATTTGTTGAAAATTTTGACCAGGATCCCATTAAAAATGACCTGAATATTCATTTGCGTTGTTGTTTGTATGTTTGCTGTTTAACGTCCATCACGAGAAATTTTCACTCCTATGGAGACGCTACCTCTCGACGGCGGCAAATTTTGTCCCGCACTTGGTATTTACGGCAATAGACATGTGAAGGATCTTTTTAGTGCGATCACCTACTGCGACACGGAACCTCGGATTATACGGTCTTTCCCCGAAGGACCGGTCTTCAAGTACGTATCACACTTTGGTTCGAACCCAAGACGTAAGGATCAACTCCTTAACTCGCGATTCTAAAGCAGGCGCCCTAACCACTGCGCTACTCGGACTAGATGCATCTGAAGATTCCTTTAATATATTTTCCTGCATAAACAAAGAATTACATACATAACTACCAGCGGAAGATTAATTTCTCTATTAAGGACAATTTAGAGTTCAATAATCACTTGATAATCGTATTATTTTCTTTAGCGTATTCCTGTACTTAAATAAGTGTGCAGTTCTTGGATAGGGTGGAATATTGATACACACTTCTTTTGTACCTACACTGTCCCAAATGTTCTACTCAAATGCTTCAGGATTAATTCAAAAAACTTTCTTAATAAATGTAGAAAAAAGGAGTTGGTTTTACTTTCATTTCACAATTCTATTATAAAGAAGACTTTTTATTATTAATTAATAAAAAAAAAAATAGATACTTTCAATGTGAATCTCGAATCAAAAAACACGCTCAACGGACGGTGACACCTGTTTCATATTTGGATGCTAAAGTGACTATAGATATTAAAGCAAACACCAAAACTAGGCAGCATATAGGATGGCCTCAGATCACCCTTGAATTCCCATATCTAATTTTTTTTTATTTTTTTGGATGATCTATGGAAAAAAGACATTCACATTTTCATCGAGAATAAAGAGAAAGAGAATCCTTAAATAAAACGAAATTCAGTAATATGAGATCACAATTTCACCTGCAGTGCACCAATGTATATTTTCCAGTCTGTGGTGACGTTTTCATCACGTGACGATGAAACACAAGAAGATTGAGAGGATCAGGAACACCGTGGTCAGGCCATCTTGTGTAGTGAAACATCAACACTTCACGGTCTTTTCTTTCCTTCAATGAAGAAACAAAAAATATGGATTCATTGGTCATGCTGGTGGATCTCCGTTGCTTTCTGTTTGTCACTACTTACAAATAAACCAGATGAGTGTAATTTAGCTTTCTAACTGTAGATACAGAGATAAGTCTTAAAACAATTTCATAAACAAATTCATTATCAAATGTAAATATTTGTCAGGACAATTCATTATTTTTAACCTTAATAAATTTATCAATTTCAAATTCAAACATTCATCGGGATGTAAATACAGGTTGATCATGTGATCCATTTGATCACATGACAAACCTGCATTTAAATCGCATCCCGATCAAAGATTGAAAATAATATCTTATTTCGTGATTAAATTATATTCTTTGAAAAAAGGAAGCCTTGGTGGCCTACTGCTGGTCAAATTTCTTCATCAATTTAGCAAAAGACTGTTTATGTCCATATCATAATCCTTTTTCGAGGACAACTTGACGGACAAAAAATATACGGGAAAAAAGCAAATTTAAATTCCAGTTTGGTTTCAAGGAAAACTTGAGATTGTTAAAAACACAAATATATATATTCGCAAAACAGAAAAAAAGTTTTTAAAAAATATCAAAATTTACTTATATACCTATTTAAATAGTTAATGGAAAAAAAAAAGAATATGGAGATTAAAAACTCTGTGGAAGAAGAGAATGTTTCTGAATGTTTGTGTTGTGTTTTATAACTACGGGCATTGAAAAAAGTTTGTTGTTTTTTAAAAGAATAAGTAATTTCACTGGATATTTATCTGCAATGATAATAAATACATGTATGTATCAAGATAAGTTAATGAATAAATATGTCCTTTAAATGCTATTCCTCTTTTATATGACATTTAAACAACTGTCACTATGACGTAGGTTGACAATGATTGGATGTTTAAAAACATTTTTATGAAAGGGTGATGTCAAAATGGTATGACGTAATAATGTTGCATTTTCAAGAGAGACAACTTGATAAAAGATAAAGATTTTAATGACATTTTAAGCAGGAAAAACAATGATTTTTTTTCTCAATGGAAACATTTACTTCCGTGTTGCCCCGTAATTCGGGGGTATATAATTTTTTTCGCGTCTGTCCATCCGTCTGTTTAGCTGTATGTTTGTCCGCAAAAACTGTTATGTTGCCTCGCATTGTTTGATTCATTGTATATTGTTTAATGTCCCTCTCGAGAATTTGTCACTCATATATAGACGTACCTGCAGAAATGTAGCTCTCCGAATTGTTTTTTTTTTTCTTGACAGAACAGAGAGCGCTACAGTGCCACCCATTGTAAAAACTGCATATTTATTGCGCACAAAAATGTGCACTGTTTCTCGATTTATTTTAAAACTGTCATCTAAAAATATTTCTAACCGTGTGTTCCTAACATATTCTTTCACTGTTTCCACAACAAAACATTCCATATAATTGTTTTTAATAGCCCTCCTGGCCCTGAAATTCGGATCATCGGAAATTTTGCCTATTTATACTACCATTTTGGTTTGCAAGATAATTCGGTCCAAGGCGCTTTGTACTGATGTAAACTACGAAAGTACTTCACAGAGGAGTAGGAACTTTTTTTGAATCTAGCTTTTTTGGCAATTGAGGTAAGAATTTGGAAGAATTAAGCTAGAACCGAGTGCACATTTTTGTGCGCAAGAAATACACAGTCAGTTTTCCAATGGGTGGCACTGTAGCCCTCTGGTCTGTCGATACATATTTTTCGTAGAGCTACAGTTCTGCAGCTAATGGAGACGCCACCACTTGCCAGTAGGGAGCTGCAAATTTTGTCCTATACTCGGCACTCAGGGCCATTGAGCAGGGAGGGATTTTTTTCGTGTCAGCACCTACTTCGACCCGGGATCTCGATTTATACGGTCCCATCCTTAGGACCGGTCTAAACGTCCCACAGTGGGATTCGAACCCGCGACGTAAGGATCAACTCCTTACTTCGCGACTCTAGAGCAGACGCTCTAACCACTGCGCCACGCGGGCGACAATTTTGCCTGGGGTATTTGATTAAGTGGCGCTATGACTTTGATATTTGACATGTGTATTCCTTGTGAAAATACCTTTCTTTGGGTGCCACCAAATGTGACCTTTAGACCTTGGAGTTTCACAAACTTTTACACAAAATTCCAAACTTTTACTCTGACCATAACTTGTAAAGGGTAAATACTAGGACTTTCATACTTCAGATAGGCATTCTTTCTGATAAGACCTTCCATTGTACACGAACATCGTACCTTTTTACCTGGACCTTGGAGATTTACGTACTTTAAAAACTTTAACTTTGGTCATTGCAATTGAAGGGAAAGGTCTAGGGCTTTCATACTTCACATATGTAATCCTTGTGAGAAGACCTTTTATGGGATACTAAAAAGGTTTCTTGATATCTACACCTTGGCGTTGGAGTTTTACCACCTTTTTAATAACAAACATTGTCCATATCTTTTAAAGGGTTAGAGCTAGGGTTTTCATACTTTACATGATAATCTTATCCTTGTGACAAGACCTTTCTTTTGAAACATGTAAAAACGTTTACCTTTTGATCTTGACCACTGTGTTCGGCCTACCTTTCAAAAACTTATCCTTCGCCATAACTTTTAAACAGGTGGTGTTAGGGCTTTCAAATTTCATATTTATATTTCTTGTGAGACAATCTTACTTTGGGTACCAACATATGAAATTAACTCTTCGTTTTGTTGTTACACGGGGGCATCAGTTTTTCACAAGCAAATCTTGTTTCTTTATTGATTCGTATAAAACTTAGATTTATATTTTAGTCATATCTGAACATTAAATACAGCTCTTTAATCAAGGTATAAAAAGATTGAGCTTGATTTTTCAAGCCTCACATTTTTTTTTCATAAAAAGTATTACTTAAATGATTTAAACTTCTTGAATGGGCGTTAAACAAAAATCAATTTCAGGCAACTCAAATTTGACGTTTAACTCCGATATTTTATTGTTTCATGTAAGTTTAAGCACTGGTATCAGAAAAATATTAATGAACCAAAACCAAATGTTCAATATTTTCAAATGCCTAAAACCTGCAGATTTGTGCTTTAAATTCTTGGTATATGTATACAATGTTATTAAACTTCTTTTTGAGGCTGATAACTAATGAAATGCTGCAAAAATACATTTTCTGTATTAGCTTTTTGTATCTCTAGTACATCGAGACAAATATATTTACATTAATTTACATTAATTGAAATTTTAAGGAAATCGACAATTCGTAAAATACAAATAATTATGAGCATGCGCTGTAACTGTAAAATGGCATCTTCCTATCCACGTGGAGTATAAAAGACCTGTGCTTAGTGTTGAGATCATTTTTTAACGGTATGATATCGATCATTCAAATTATTGCTTACTTTTATTCCAGTAGTGCTATTCTACTGAAAAAAAAATCAACGGAAAAGTGAATTCTGTCTATTTGCATTTTACTATATCACAAGAAGTGGATGCAAATGAGGTAAACTCAACAATTTGATAATCGAGGATTATTATATACACGCTTCAAGGAGGATTGCCATAGAGGGTATGGACAAACATTCAGAAAGCTTTGTTGATTTTCCTTTTGGTTTATAAAGAACACATTTCAAATGTAATCTTTATGATGCAATATAAAACAAAATATTTCATTTTTTTTGCGATTTTTTAAGGTATGTACTTTGTTGACTATTTTCAAATGATCATCATGTGTAACAGCTAAACTAGATTCTTTTTTTTCAGCCCAAAGTATGACAAAACAAACGTAAGCTTCAAGGATAGGAAAATTCATATCAAGTTTTTTTTTATAGTACACAAATGAAATGTGCATATACAGAGTATCACATTTACAGTTACTGTCTGTCAGATACTTTTATAAGAAATAACTTCTTACCAAATTATTGTACACTTTGAACCGTCTAGACGTATGATTCGCATATATCTTTTCTTCCAGGTTTCTTATCATAAAATTGCCATGCTTCATTTTGTCGTTAATGTTCGGCCAGTATAGAGTGCATTTAATCTACAAGAAAATTTAGGGGTGAATAAAATTGATATCTTCAATATATTATATAGAATGTATTATAAACACTAATCTAAAGTGCAAAATTTCTCTGAAATGCTTATGAAAAAGGAAGTATATCGTTTCTTTTAATTATGTCGCCCAGAACGAAGTCGGGCGACATATTGCGATTGTACGCATGTTTTTGTTCTACGGGCTGTTTCTCGGAGATGGCTGGAACAATCTTCCTGAAACTTTCCTCAAAGCAGGATCACTGGTCGTAGTTGTGTTGTGTGGTCATTCAGTTTCAAAATTGCTACCGTTGCCATGGAAACCTGCTAAAAGCGACGAATTTTGTCCGCGAGTGTTCTCGCTGGTCCCTTGGACATTCGTCATGAAACTTTATTGATTAAATGATTATTATCTGTTATTGTGCATATTGACTTTTAAAATTGCTAATTGTCAATAGTTGCCATGGAAAGAGATGAAAAGTGAATATTCTTTAACTTACATTTTAAAAATCAAAGTACTGAAAGGGCTTATAAGAGTTGATGGTTACCCAAACTTAGCTAATGGGTATTGTTTTAGTGATGAAAAAATGAAAGTTTTGTCCAGTTCGGGGCCACATACGCTATTACTTGCAATAGCAGACTTTCTTTATTTGATAATTTCGTTTTATACTTTTATTAATTTCATTTTTCTTTATTTGATAATTTCGTTTTATACTTTTATTAATTTCATTTTTCTTTATATATTAATTTCGTATTTGAAGTAGAAAACTCAAACTTAAATACGGAATTTATAGATGTGCATGGTAAGGGCCTGAACCCATGAATCATTTCATATAGTACATTTGTTATAAAGCATCACCTCGTAACTCTTTACGCCTTATATCGACATTACAAATGTGTGGTGAAAATGAAAAATTAAAGAAGATATACATATCAAATTAACAAATGTAGAAAAAATATGTGCACACAGCCTAAAATTCCCATTCCGTAAACAATTCATAAACTATGCAATTTTGTTTACGGGAATTTGTTGCTGTGTCACATCTCCAAACCATTGTTGGAGTCTGTAAGCCTTGGCTTAGTGAGGATGGCTGTTTCTGTTTGCATAAAATTAATGACATTCCAATAAAGCTCATGAATCGCGAGAAGGTCATAGCCTTGAGTATCGTATTACTGACTTCCCCCGAACTTAACCTAGCGTTGTGTACCCATAAATCTTAGGTTGTTGAAACTATAAAGAAAAAAATGATTGCATGGACCCTGAGGTCCACGCACTAAATATATAAGCGAGGTTAAACCGGATGCCATGGGCAAACGACAGGCTACGCATGCCCGAGAATGCTGGAGAGTTTGCACCTTAGGTAACTTGCTCGTAGAATAATTCGCCTCATTCAAATTAGAATATGCCATTCATTGGCAAATCGCGCTTTCAAATCAGCATATCGCATATACATATTTATTGGCGGATCCGAATTTCCCTCTTATACATGTACTTTTATATAAAAACTAAACTTTGATTCTATGGTACATGTACAAGCATTTTAAAGAGTAGGAAGAACTTGCAGTATATAGATACATGTAACTTAACAACTTAAATGAAAAACGACATTCAACGACTAGTTCTAGCTTTTAATAGATAGAACAAGTTTTCACCGGAATTACTTTTGTGCATCAAGGCTCGCAATTTTTTTATTTCAGCAATCCAATACCGTTTGACAGAGGTCTATATATAGCAACGGCTTTTATAATGTGTTTGGGGGAGGGCTCCGACAAAAAAATCTGAGTGCTACAGAGCGGTGATACACGTTAACCATCGGATCTCCATTTCCCCTGATATATTTCTTTCCCATAAATCAAGAACAGGTGTCAAGTCAATTCTTGAAACTGACAAAACTAAAGGCCGCTAATCGGAGATAAAATTTAACAAATTTGCTTTGAGGCAACAATCAGTCATAAATAGGCAGATCAGGAAAATGTTAACAAACCTACATGAATATTCACTTCACCTAGAAAATTTCTTAATTGAATTTCGGTTAGAAAAACATGCATATGGTCCACGTACTACAGTCCTGTTTTAAAGGACAGCAACTTGTTTGATTACTTTGTGGGATTTATTTTGTGCATGTGTGTGCATTGTTTGTTCACAAACATCACTGACTTATAATGGTACAGATTGAAAAACCGATGCACTATTTTATGTATCTTAGTGTAGTCTACTTGTGTGCCAAGTAATATTGAAATCAGACCAAAACTGTAGGAGGAGTAGCGTTTTAAAGGAATTTCACAGAAAATTCTATTTTTAGTAACCATTGCAACACTGTTCATCGAAATCAAAAACCGATGCATAATTTTATGTATCCTAGTGAGGTCTACTTGTGTGCCAAGTTATATTAAAATCAAACCAAACTGTAGGAGGAGTAGCGTTTTGAAAAAGTGTTTACAGACAGACGGACAGACAGACAGACAGACGGACGGACGACGGACACCTTACTATTTCATAAGCTCTTCTGGTCTCTGACCAGTAGAGCTAAAAACGAAATCATTAAATAAAGGGAATCGAAATTAATATATAAAGAAAAACGAAATTATTAGATAAAGAAAAACGAAATGATTTATTTAATAATTTCGTTTTTCTTATTTAATAATTTCGTTTTTCTTATTTGATAATTTCGTTTTCTTTATATATTAATTTCGTTTTTCTTTATTTAATAATTTCGTTTTTCTTTGTATATTAAAAATTCCATTTTTCTTGATATATTAATTTCTTTTTTCTTGATATATTAATTTCTTTTTTCTTTATTTAATAATTTCGTTTTTTTTTATTTAATAATTTCGTTTTTCTTTATTTGATTTCGTTTTATCTATTTTTGGTTTGAACACCTGGCGTGTGATCTGCAGGAATTATTTGTACGAAACATTTATGGTTTAAATGTCCATGATTTGGTTGGCTGAACATAGCTTGTCAGAGTTTACAAACACGTCCATAGGTTTTTTTTTCAATTAGTTTGAAAGTGTGAGATTGTAACATTTTTGTCCGTTTTTCCTAGGGGGTACCATTACATAGTAATGGTTCACAAAAAATGAACACTTACAATATTTAATGCATATAGATGCACGATACGTGTAAATGTACATTATATACACAATAGAAGATTAGAACTGATTTCGCTCGAGAACCATACTGAACCAAAATTAATCTAATTCAAAATCTTAATATATCAGTACATAAAACGAAACTGATAAAATAAATGGGTGTTTGCATGAAAAAGAAAAAAATAATTAACGCCCCATGCCAGGCTCGAACAAAAAACTTTTCGATTCCAGTGCACTGAACAGTCAGCCCAACTTACTGAGCTATCACCGCTACACATACACGGATGATTTTAAAAGGACAAGAAAGCACCACATTCACACATTTGGATTTTTTGGGGAAAAGTTCGTTTTTCGTGGTCTCTGGGTCTTCTTTCCATTTTTCAAAAAAGTGTTTTCGTTTCTTTGAATTAAAATACACACAAATAACTTTTCGAAATCAAGACCCAGAGATAGAAAAATTTTAGAAAAACGTGTCTAAAAATGCACCATTTTGTACCAAATGTCTGTTCTGGCTAATTTTCAAGTTATTTTTTAGCGAATCAAAGCTCAATTTCGGGAAAATATTTTCCTTTCCTGTTGCACAGGAACACGATAAATAAAAACAAGAGGCCCAGGGGCCACATCGCTCAACTGAGCAATTGGCTAGGAAAAAGCACATATCAGATCAGAACTGAAAGTTTACTGAGGGGGGAGAGGGCATGAATTTTAACCATGATTTGAACAAACTTGAATCTACACTACCTAAAATGATTCTCTATAAATATCACTAAGCATGGCTTTAAAGTACTTGAAAAGAAGATTTTAATAGGTTTCCCTAGATATTCCTATGTAAAACTTTGATCGGCCATTTTCACCGTACCCCCGGGGGTCATGATTTGAACAAATTTCAATCTACACTACCTGCGGATGATTCCACATGAGTTTCATCTTTCCTGGCCCAGTAGTTCTTGAGAAGAAGCTTTTTAAAGATTTTTCCTATATATTCCTACATGTATGTAAAACTTTGATCGGTCATTTTGGCCCCATCCGACCCCCGGGGGTCATGATTTGAAGAAACTTCAATCTACATTACCGGAGGATGATTCCACATAAGTTTCATCTTTCCTGGCCCAGTGGTTCTTGAGGAGAAGATTTTTTCCTATATATTCCTATGTAAAACTTTGATCGGCCATTTTGGCCCCACCCTACCCCCGGGGGTCATGATTTGTACAAACTTGAATTTACATTACCTGAGGATGCTTCCACACAAGTTTCATCTTTCTTGGCCCAGTGGTTCTTGAGAAGAAGATTTTTTAAAAATGCTATTTATTTTTCACTAATTCATAATTATCTCCCCTTGGAAGAGGGCGTGGCCCTTCATTTGAACAAACTTGAATTCCCTTCACCTAAGGATACTTTGTGCCAAGTTTGGTTGAAATTGCCCCAGTGGTTCTAGAGAAGAAGATGAAAATGTGAAAAGTTTACGACGACAACGACAACAACGACGACAGACAACGGACAAATTTTAATCAGAAAAGCTCACTTGAGCCTTCGGCTCAGGTGAGCTAAAAATGTTAAAATTTTAAGTGATATATCTATAAAATTTTTACTTTACAATTACGCCCAGATTCTTGCCAAATGCCAATCAAAAGCGCCTCGTTCTTTTTTAATTACTTGGGGGGGGGGGTTAGATCGAATGCAAAACTCACAGATTGAAAGTTTAGCATTTACTTCTCCCCAATAGATAAACAATTCACTTGTAGATATAATAGACATTTCCATCTAAGAGCGCCACGAGCTCGGACTCGTACTCTGTACTTCAATATATAAGGGGTCGTATAACAAGTTTCTAAAAAGGGTTATAAAGCTATATACGAGGTATGGCGTATCTAAAATAAAAAGTAAAACACGAGATTAAACAAAGATTAAGATAATATTTACTATCTTAAATTCAAAATAAAATTACCGATTTTGAACCCAAATATCATCTCCATATTTCAATACATGTAGGTTAAATTGACTTTAAACTCTGTCTGATATGATTTTTATCCCGAGTCGGAAATAAATCGGTTATTGTATAAAATCTCGGATTTCTATGTAATGCGATTGATTTAAATTGTGTTATTTACAGGAAAGTCCTATCTTTATATAAAATAACAAAACAAAGAGAAAGTTCATTTTAATTTTAGTTAGTTTGAACTGATGAAAAATACGATATATTATTACTTATTATGTTACATACTACAATGCCTTATCTAGGAAACAGTGTGTTTGTTGTTTGTAAATAAATCAAATTTTGACACGCACCCTACAAGTGTTCAAACAACTGTCAGAGTCAGTGCGCGAGTACGACCTCGAGATCGCGAAATCTGGAAATGTCTATTAAGAGCTCTATTTTTATAATGATATGTTAGGGGTCCCGAGGACTATGTTAACAATGTTATTTTTATATAACAGACTTTAACTTCCTGTTATAACAAACTTGAAGTGACAAGGAAAAGGTATTTTTGCTTATTTATTTACGCATAACAGGAAGTTATAAAATTGTTTTTAACGAAACCAGTTAAAAGGATAAAACGTTAAAAGGTCAAAATTAGAATCCATTTGCTGATCATCAAACCTTTGTCCCTTCTTTGAGATTCGTCAGGCAAACAATGGTATTTACACACTCCTGCCACACCATTCTCCAAAAGTCCACCACTGTTTTTGGTTTTGGGCCTAAAACATTAATCTCATATACATGTATATTGAAATAGCCGCATTACACAAAGTTCTCAAAATCCTAATTGATGTGAAAGATATGTTTTTGTTTTATTCTTAATTATCTTAACAAAAATAATTGTTACCTTGAGTTGCAATATACTTTAGGTTACTCTGCGTATCCTGTTGACGTAAAAAAAAAGATATAAAAAGGTGTCCAAAATTAATACAGAAGAAAAAAATCATTTCAAATTTTATCATCTGAAGCAAAGAAGGGGTCACTAAAATTGAATTTACAGAGAACATACTTTATAAGTAATAAAAAAATAATAAACAAGAGTTCAAAATCCTGATCAATACGAATAAATGTAACACATTGAAAATGTTAGTGTTATTTATCTTATCAAAAATTAATATAATACCTGTACTATTGCATGCATATTAATAAATCTTTTTTATTATCATTAATAACAATATGCTTATGTTTACATGCATGTACATATAGCTGGGTTCTTCAAATGTTAATGAGGATAATTATACTTCCCTCGATATAATTGGCATTGATGTAGTCACTTTCATTTGGAGAGATTGTTTTCAATACAACTCGAGAGTGATCATCTATAGAAGAACAAAAGCAGAACAGAATAACTTGATTTTTCAAGTAAAATAAAAGCAATAATAAAATTGATATGTCTGCATATGTTTATTGTGTAGTTACTGAAGTTGTAAAACGTACATGGAAATGTAGTTGTGTATCTATTTTTAGCTTTATTTTCAGGCTTTTTAGCTTCTTCACAGGGAAACAATTCACCTCTTGGAATTTCCTAGAAAATTCAAAAAAAAATATTTTACATTGAAAGTTCCGAGCAATAGAAATTGTTCAATGTTTGTAATCTAAACATATCGACCATACATGATATTCGTGTTTGAATCCAGCGTTTTCAGCAGCAGACATTTTGACAATGATTGCCTGTAGATTCCTTTTGAGGATGGTTTTATTTGTAGGGGGACCCCTCTTAGCTTTCTCTTCGACTTTATGTAATTGATGATTATCTCGTTCTTTACTCTTCTTTGTTGCATTTGCTGAAAAAAATGTAATTGTAACTATTTATAAATCTGTCGTGACTCTGAAGGGAAACAACAATCAAATATTTTATTATCGTAATATTGATTTGTGTATAGTAGAAGAATATAGGTACGTTTATCTATAATGATACTACATGTATTTGTCATTCCTCATACTCATGCATGCTCTTATTTGTTTTAATTGTCATCGTTTTTTACAGTTTTATCTGTGAATACAATTGTACAATTGTGAAAAGATTAATACATTCAGTTCACTTCAGACTAAAAAAAGGCCCCATATGTAATGAGGCAATAATATTTATCGAAAGTCGTTAATTTTATTGATTAAAAAGTTTCAATTTTCAGTTCAATGATCTCATATCCCAGTTGCAAAGTACATTACTATTTGTGTTTTTGCAAGGTATTTGCAATATAATACAATTTTCAAGCCGAATTATATGGAGTAGAAAGTCCACTTTATACTATTAAGATCACTTTTGATTAAAATTTTTGTGGAGAATAACATTTCATATAAACTTCAAATAAATACAAGAGTTTAACCTGCGCTTGCTGCTTCTTGATTTTGTAATGTAATTTTGGACATTCGTATAGATACAGATGTATTGCTGGCTTCCTTATCTATTTTTCGTCGTATTCTATGAAATAAAGACACAAATCACTTAGAACATTTTATGAATTATTATTTTAAAAATCGGTAAAATCGCAATACTATACCATAACCTTGAAAATAACAAGTTACATTTATCTCTTTTAAATCTTTATTTCATAAAGTTTTCAGCCAAACATATTACCTCATAAATAAAGCTAGCAATGCAAGAAGGATGATGACAACGGTAAATGCCCCTAAAACCGCACCAATGGTAAGTGGTTGAGCAGACGTACGTTTAGATTGAAAACGAAGAGTTCCATCCTCTTGAAAATAATATAAGGAGAGATGAAGCAATTCTTATAAATCTATGGTTTCTTGACTTTCAATTAGCATTACAGGTAAACATAGTCTCTTGGTAACTAAATACCATGTCTTAATTGGTGTAGTCAAGAACTATAGTCATAAAAAACGGTTCATTTCCATGTATTTTATGAAATTTTAAATCAGGGTTTCTTGATGGTGAAAGTGGCCGAATACATGTACTTGTATGTGATTTAGATAAACCAATCTTAAGGCAAAAAAATCCTACAAGAAAATTTCTTTTACACTTACGTTGATTACACACATCTCCATAAAATGGTTCTTTACATCCCTCAGTACAACTCCCATTGAATCTATCACAAGTCACATTCACACAATTTGGACTGCAGGAATGAATACAATTTTCTCCATATGTTTTGTGAGCACATTCTGAAGTTATAACGTTTTACTTGAATTAATTATTTGAATGGAATATAACGTTCTATGTCATGATATGATTTTAGTACCTACATATTGACATTCAGTCATTTTCGTGTTTAAGGACATTGGCAGATTCCTAGCTTTAGTAAAGAAAATTTCAAGACCTTTTGAATAGACTTAATGGTACCAAACATGTTTAATTCTGGTCTGTTTAACACACCAAGTAAGTCTTCCGTATTAGATTCTGTCAAATCAATGTTTTCACAATTCTCAATACATTTCTTATGTAAAATTTTGATAAAAAGGACCTACATCATTTTAACCATACGGTTTCTCGAAAACACATTAATTTTATAGACGTTTTGAATGAAATACATTGTTGTATATATCCTATGAAATGTATATATTTTGGCTGAAAATGCAAATAGAAACAAGATACAGAAATTCCAACACTGGTCTTTAATTTTGAATTACTTCCCTTAATTTCTATTTATTATTCATAATGAACTAGAGCTTCTATCATGTAATTTACGTTATTGGAAACAAATTGTCATAAATATATTTGTATGGATTTATTATAACTTATAACTTTTACTCGTAGTTATTAAATGGTGCCTCCTCGACACATGACCTATAGAACTGTTCTCATCCGGTTACCTATTAAAGTTTCACCACTTTCAGCATATGTCACATCTTATGCCTTTCTAGCATAGCTCTGGTATATATAACCTGTTGACTATCTGCCCCTTAGTTTACCCAATGTATAACAAAGCTGTTTTTTTTTTCTTGTTTTATCGTTGATTTTATCCGTTTAAAAAAGCATGTGCTTTTGTTTGCCTCTGTAACATACACTTTATTTATTTCCACCGTCTAGAGAATTCCAAACGGGAAATCACCCTCAGTGACAATATTTACGAGGGGTGATCAAAAAGTTCGCAAACTAATTGAATAACTTCCATACAAGAAACAATATTTGGTTTTAATGTTGATTATATTTTAAATTAATCCTCCCCGATTTTAATGCACATCAACCACCGTTCTGCACATGCGCGAATCACGTGATATTGGTGGTCACGTGACCCCCTCCGTAGGTTCTGTCACAAAAGTTGAAAGATTTTTCCGAGTTTTATATTTCTTTCCATGTGAGTTAATTTTTATGACAAGAAAAGTTCATTTGTCAGAAATGGTCATATCTCGGCAACAGAATGAGTAGATAATAATATCCTTTCCAAAAATAAGCATGGTGACCATTAAAACACAAATCTTCTGTCTCAGGAGAGACCTTTATTCAAGGTGGATAGAGAATGGGTGCATCCTTTTTATCATATCTAATATGTTTGAAATCTAAAGTAAACGATATCTGAGGTATTTAATACTTATATCATTGTTCATATATTCAACTATTTTTCAAAGTGCTAATTGGAGGTCTTTGATAGCAAATTGCTTAATTAAAAATACATATCTTTTCAAACTTGCTTTCACTGGGCAAGATGACAAGTATCATATTTAACCATCAGCCTTCCTTCACTAAAACGATTAATCCAATCATTAATTGATTTTATAGGAACTCATTTATCTCAATAAACTCTGCACAAATTATTATATGATACTGTAGAGGGATTTCTAAGATATACAATAAATTGTACAGTCATTTGTTGAACGAGTTCGACTGAGACAACCATTTTTCGTCACAAGTGACCTAAATAGTGACGTCATTTTCACATTGTGACGTCACAAACGAGAAAACCTTTATTCAGGATATGCTATATAAGGAACTTGTGCATGTATTAAACTTTTTTTCCGGAAACCCTGCCTTGCCAATGACCTTAAAGTTGCTTGTGAAATATTTCTACAACTAAAATATTTTTTTCCAATATGAAATATGAAAAAAATAAGGTTTCTAATTAGAAGTTCACATGTACTGAATACATCAAATGGTTTTCGAATATTTGTGGTATTTTTTCTTAAGTTCAAATATGTTCAAATACATGCACATGCTTTTCATTCAATATCACCTGTATTGCACATTGGAGAACCTTTCCAACCGATTTTACAAAAACAGGATCCATCTGTATGATTACATTTTCCTTTACAATTCTGAGAGCAAAGTTTAGAACAGTTTGCACCGTAGAAACCTGCCGCACAATCTATAATGAAATATTCATTGAAAATGTCAGTTGTTAAAGAGCACAAGAGAAATAAGTATGGTTCAGTTATTTATACATAATGTTTGTAAATTTATAGACAGTTATACAGTACAGTTGTTGCATATATTCCCAAGGTAGCCATTTTGACAGCCATTAGGACAATGTCCATCTACATGGTAACAATGTTCGTCATTGGTACAGTGTCCACTACAACGCTGTTTACACCCTTCACCAAACCGGCCACCGGGACACACTGTTAAAACAAACAAAAATAGTTCACTTAAAGGAACTCCTCAAAATGGTAACTTGTATGTTTGAAATATGAGAAATCAAATTTTAAAAGTATATTCACCTTTTTTACAAAAATTTCCGATGTATCCAGGTGTACATCCAGAATCACAATGCCCTGTTTCCTTGTTACATGTGTTTCCATTTAAACAATGTCCGCTGCAATTGGAAGCACAGCTTGGGCCATAGCGTCCATAAATGCATGCTGTATTTGAGAGTCAGCAAAGATAGAATTACATGTAGCGATGAAAACATTTGTCAATAATTCTAGAATAAATAATATAAACTTACATTCATTACAATTTTGTCTTGTCCATCCTGGAGCACAACCCTCATCACAGATTCCAGTCACGTGATTACAAGCTTGATCATCAAAACAATGTCCTGAACACCGAAGTTTGCAGTTCTTACCATATGATCCACTATCACACGCTATTAATGCATGTATAGTACATGTATAAATATGCATTTAACCATGTAAAAGAACACCAAAAATATAGTTAACTAATGCACCTGTGAAAGTGACCTTACGTGTTTGACAGAACTGCCCAGTCCATCCAGGCATACATCCCAGACATGTTCCATTTATTATATCACATTTATTGTCTTCACAATGTTTAGAACAATTCTTGTTGCACAATATACCATATGTTCCCCTATTACAACCTAAAAATATTATTGATAGAGCAAAACCTTTGTAACTGTAAATTAAAAAACAAGACTTACTAAGCAAAAAATTGAACTATAAAGTTTTCAAAATATTAAAAAAAATACAAAAACAAGATGTATTTGTGTAACACTACAAGGGGTATCAAAAAGTTCATGGATTAGCGCCATAAAATCAATTTTTTTAAGTACATCAATGGATTTTAAAACATATACTAGTAAACACACCCGAAGGTTAAATCAAATTATAAATTTTAAATTTTAATTAATCAATTTTGGTCAGAAATGGTAGGTCCTGGCGACACAACCTAGAACATGACGTTTTTTCCGACTTCAGTGATACAGTAACTCTCTTTAATAAACATCTAAAATGCAAACAAACCCGTTAATTTAGGTTTGTGATGGGACACTATTGTTTCTTTAAATATGCAATTTTACCTCATCCTGTAAGTTGTATGAAAGTCTACACATGTATTTTGTATCAATTAAGGACTTTAAAATGACACCATAAGGATGGAGTCCTAGGAGATGCTTTCCCCAAATTTCTTGAAAGTTTTGTCCTGGAAAATAACTGATATAGATCTAGGAAAATCTTAACTGGCTACATAAAAATAAAATGCATCTAGAGTACTATTTTGTTTTATTCAAAGTCGATTCAAAGAGAAATGTGATGCACAGTTAATGTGAATTTGTAGTCAAGGTGCGAAAATTCAATCACGTCAAAAAATGATGTTATTTGTGGTAGGTATTGAAGTTTAAAAATCAAAATATGTTGGCATCTATTTATGTGTAAATCTATTTGAAATATTATATGCTTTGAGAGCAGTTGTTATTGACACTGTAAAATCATACAAAAAGGGCGGGTTTAAGTCCCAACTCAGCTACACGGAATGTTATCAAGACAGTTGTATGAGGTAGAAGAATGGGGCATTGAAAATCAATGACGTGAATGTCGGATTTCATGAAACTAAAGTTCTAGTGACAGCGCCGGGTGATCATATAATGTTCTTTTTTATTTTATAATATTTACATTTCGAGTGTCTTTGTCCGAGATAAAATTACCAATTGTAAATGTAATTTATTTCCTCATGAATGTCTTGGCGCGGTTCCAAAAAAAACCACGTGCAGGGCGGGACAACACCTAGAGAGAAGCAGGCTTGGAGCCCGTGGATTGGCGGAATCAAAGCATGTAAATATAAGGAATAACTGTCAGATTTTTCGAATGATCAATGGATTAGCTTGTGTGATAATTTTATGCATAAACGCCTAATAATGAACGTATCAAGCTAAAAGTTTCGAACTTTATTTATTTTGTTTTGTTTATGTTCCGTATGAATTTTACAAGACCTTTTTGATACCCCTTCGTAGTTTAAAGCACGAAACCAACCTTTTACCACCACTTCACATAATTCTGTTACAATCAACTTCTTATACCCTGCAGGGTAAACAGTTTTATCATATCGTTCGTTGTAAAATATAATATAAGAGCCATGTCCATTACAGATTGTTGTGAAGTCAAGGGGAGGTAACTGTGGCCCGTCTTTATAACACAAGTGACCATCTTCTGTGTTGGCAGTAGTAGAAAGATAAAGAGAAAACCCCGCAAAACGCCCCTTTTGCCTGTTTTCTAGAAAGAAAAAAGTTGAAACTGCAGTTTAATATAATTAATCTTTAAACTAGATCTATGTTTTCTGCAGAATATCATCATGTACCAAGCAACTTGACAAATATGCGTGAAAAAATAGTCAAACAAAATTTGATTTTAAACTGATTTCAACATTCGAATTAACGTTAAACTGTATTTGATAACAAGGTTATTATATTGATCACTGTTCATCAAGGGCTGACTTTTAACAAAACAGTTGATTTAAGGAATCACTGCCTAGCTAGTATAGTATGCCAGGGCATCAACAATAGTGGGAAACATGGGATAATTTGCATCACGGGCGAAGCCCGTTATGCATAAATTATCCCATGTTTCCCACTATTGTTGATGCCCTGGCATACTAAACATGTACTAACTAGACAGTGATTCTTTATATTTCCATTTCATTGTGAAATAAAAATGTAAATTTAAACTTCAAAATTGCAGACATAGAATTAAATTACACGAGGATTCCCATCCCAATTTCAATAGGCCTCGCCGACTGACGTCAAACACAACGGCAGCCGCACGAAATTGTCATGCATATTTGGCCTCCTTAGCGTCAGACTCAGAGACAGATGCGCACGGGATTTACATGCATACTGGGCCCCCTTAGCTCCTGACCTATCGACCTGCCTAATTTACATTCCGGCAGAATTATCAGGAAATCAACGCCGCTTATTTTCAAAGGGTTATCATAGAGAAAAAAAAATTAGAAATGGAAATATTTCATTGTATCATTCTTTTAAAAATGATTTCTAATATTAAATTAAAAACTAAATAATTACATGTTCACAAAATCGTAAGTATTCAATGAAAATGTATGACTTTTGTTTTATCACTCAATGCTTTAATGTTTTCAGTCGTCTTTTGTTGTTATAATTACTTTGTTAGACAACTGTTCACTGACTTCTTGAAGAAATGACATGGAAACTAAACGTCTATTTACATGTACTTAAAGTTGAAACTAATCCACAATAAAGGGGATTGGGGTCACCTGCCCCCACCTCCTCTAAATCCGCCAGTGCAGCCAATATCGACAGAGCAAGACTGAACACGTTATATGATATACATGAACTTATTTACATGTATTAATCTCGGATTGAAAAGAATAGTCTCCAAATTCCAAGTTTCTCTCTCTCTCTCTCTCTTCTCTCTCTCTCTCTCTGACAATAGTGAACCTCTTGTTCTTATTTTGCGTTATACAATGATCAATGATTAATCTAATTTTTCAGTCTCTTTGTGCCTTCCTGTCAATTTCTAATTTACAAACAAATGTTCTGTTTATCAAAATTCATATACTCTCATATGCATGCAATGTTGAGCGTGACATCGGAATCGTTGATCAGACCACCACCCCCCACCCCCAGAAAAAAAAACGAGCAGTCATATACTGTAAATCACTTTTTAGTCGCAAGAACTTTATGTTCGTGATATTACCCGAGACAATGCGTTCGCGAAAATAATTCTCGCTTATAAAAGGTATTCCTTACGATTATATAGAGGAATAACAACTATTCGTGAAAATTATGTCTCGTTTACAAAGAGTCAATGACTATCTCGCGAAAATAAGGTATCGCCAAAATTTAGTGATCTACAGTACCACATTTAAATAGATATTCATTTTCTTCAATTCAAGATAAGAAAAGAGGAATGTTTAGGATTTCAATCTCTAATAGGACCAAATCCTCTATTCTTAAATGACCATCAAGTACACAATACTCTGACATAAAATCAAGGCATTTTATGGCTGAAAAGGATTGTCCAGGAGAAAGTTTCAAAAAATTTCATTACTTGAGCAGTGGTTAATTACTTAACAAATATTACATTGAAGTGTATGGGGGAAAGCGTTTTTTTTTTTTTTTCAAAAAAAAAAATTCAAATCATATGAATATCATTAACTACTGTGGTGGAGAGATACATTGGAGCATTAGAAATAGAAGGACAAAAGAAAACATTTTTTTTAACAGATAAGTTGTTTGAAATTGATTTTTTTGAATAATTAGAAAGGACCGAAATTCAAAGTCAAGTATTTGGACACATCCCACCCTTACATGTTAATAGTAATTGATGGAAATTATGTCTAAATAAATGAAATTTTCAACACTAACACATCTTAAATGTATTCAATTTCTGTTGCTATTAGGGAATGAATACTTTAAAATATCAAATGTGTAGAATAAAAAAATTAAGACATATTTAAGACAACTTTACCGACTGCCTAAGTTTTGCTAAGATTGTCAGCCACTTGCGACTAAAAAGTGATTTTAGCCACTATCTAAGTATAAGAATCCCTGATGTAGATTTTCCAAAGGGTTTGAAAAAGTTTTAAATTCATGGAATTCCAATCATTTTCATACAAAACTCAAAAAATGTGTCTGGACGTTTTTGGAATCTTTTGGAAATTGAAAAAAATGGACTTAGACATTTTTTGGTGTGGAAAGTAGTGGAAATCTGAGGTCACCATATATTGTACATAAGTAGGGAGACCAGAGGACACCTTATATTGTAAATCAATAGGGGGACCAGAGGACACCTTATATTGTACATAAGTAGGGAGACCGGAGGACACCTTATATTGTACATCAAATGGGGGACCAGAGGACACCTTATATTGTACATCAGTAGGTTGACCAAAGGGCACCTTATATTGCACATAGTAAGGAGACCATTGGTCACCTTACATTGTATTGTACATCATTAGGGGGACCAAAGGTTACCGTATACTGTACATAAACATCTTAAGGGGGACCAGATGTCAACTTATATTGTATATCATTAGGGGGACCAGTGGTTACCTTAGATTGTACATCAATAGGGAGAACAGAGGACACCTTATATTTATATCGGTAGGTGGACAAGAAGTCGCCATATATTGTACATCAGTAGGAGAACCAGCGATCACCTTATATTGTACATCAAGAGGGGGACCAGAGGTCAACTTATATTGTACATCAGAAGGTGGAATAGAGGTCATCTTACTTTGTACATCAGTAGGGGGACTAGAAGTCACCCTATATTGTACATCAAAGGGGGGCCAGAGGTCGCCTTAACTTTTACATCAGTAGGGGGACCAAATCTCACCTTATATTGAACATCATTAGGGGGAGCAGAGGTCACCTTAATTATATTGTACATCAGTAGGGGGACCAGAGATAACCTAATCTTGTACATAATTAGGGGGAGCAAAGGTCACCTTTTATTGTACATCATTAGGGGGACCAGAGTTCACGTAATATATACTATTAGTAGGGAGACCAAAGGTCACATTACTTTGTATATCATTAGGGGAACCAGAGGTCACCTTATATTGTACATCATTATGTGGACCAGAGGTCACCTTATATTTACCATAAATAGGGGGACAAAGGTCACCTTATATTGTACATTAGCAGGGGGACCAGAAATAATCTTATATTGTACATCATAAAGGGGGCCAGAGGTAACCTTATATTGTATATCAATTTTGCGTTAATATTCGAACATTTTAGCTTCCCTGTGCAATTCCTCCCTGGGGCCAGCGGGTTGGGGCGATACCAGTACAGTTGATGCAATCAATCTTTAAAAAGCTTCTTTACTCATTAAATGACATAAAGCAGTCAAACTGAAGGCATAATTATCATAAGCATCGACTCCTCTACCCAAATTTTGAAATTCATTGTTCTAGGGTCAGGGGCTCTTGGGTTAGAACGTGGCTATAAAAATTATACAGTGTATAGTGAAATGCACTAATTCTTTGAAAATCTTCTCCTCTGCTCCGGAATATTAAACAAACTAACTACATGCATAGTTATGATGATGAAGGGTGTCTTCTCGAAAGTTCTTAAATTTATGATCCAAGGGTCAGGGGTTCTGGTGTTAGGGTGAGGCTATATGAATTGTATAGTTAAAATACATTAATTCTTTAAAAAAAATCTTCTTCTCTGCTCCTGGCTATTAATTAAACAACATGTAACTACATATAGTTATTGTTAGCAATGGAACCTCTTCCAGAATTATAAATTTCAAGGACCCTGGCTCTTAAGTACCATTGAGGGGTGACGCTCTAATTAAGCCACACTAAGCATGCTAAGTATATAGTTATGATGAGCAATGGTGTTTTTTTTTCAAAATTGCGAATGTTGTAAAGACCATGCTGTTCAGATGACCTATAAGATCCATGGGCCTCTTGTCGTGTTCTTATAAGAGAACCTCTGGTATCCCGTTGATATGCATTTCATCTGTAACCTCTGGTCCGGCCTTATTTTCTTTTGAGATGTTTCTTGGTTAGGACGAGTCTAGCATTGCTGATACCATATCTCTACATTCATATTAATTTTATTTTATGTCTGGTTTCCTTAAAAATGTACAATAATGGGGACCACTGGTCTCTCTATCTATGTAAAACACAAGGTGATCTCTGGTCCCATAGTGATGTACAATATACGTTGACCTTTGGTACTCCTAATATTGTACATATAAGGTGACCTCGGGTACCTTAATAATGTACAATATACAGGGTTTTTTCTAGGTCTTAAAAACAAGGGCCTTGGCCTTTCCATTTGGGAAAAATAGCGACATTTTGTTAAAATTGGAAAAAACATATTTAACATTTTTTATATAAATTAAGAAAGTTTTTTTTTCATTTGTAAGGTATTTCTTTGTCTTATTTTACATTTAGTCAATCAGTTTTTGGAGAATGCTTTTTAATTTTTTATTTGTAACAACATTTTCACTGTACATATTACTGAGTTTGCAATTTTTAACCGATTAAATTGTTTTCATTCTCTTTTGGGAATTTTCTTGAAAAAAATTAGGAAAAACACATACATTTTACCATTGGGAATGGGACCTTATACAAGCCCCCTACGACCCCTAAAAAAAACCCTGATATATATAGGACAAAATAAGGTGACCTCTGGTCCCCCTATTGATGTACATTAAAGGTGACTACTGCATGGTCCCCCTACTGATGTACGCATAAGATAAACCTCTGATCCCCCTTATGATGTACAGTATAAGGTGACCTCTGTTTCCTCTCATGATGTTTAATACAAGGTTACCTCTGGTCCCCTACTGATGTACAATATAAAGTGACCTCTGGTCCCTCTACTTATGTACAATATAAGGTGACCTCTGGTCCCCCTACTGTTGTACTATATAAGGTGTCCTCTGGTCCTCCTACTGATGTACAATATAAGGTGACCTCTGGTCCCCCTACTGATGTACGATAAAAAGTGACATCTGGTCCCCCTACTGATGCAAAATATAAGGTGACCTCTAGTCCCCCAACTGTTGTACAATATAAAGGTTACCTCTGGACCCCCTATTGATGTACATATAAAGTGACCACTGGACCCCCTACTGATGTACAATAGAAGGTGACCTCTGGTCTCCCTTATGATATACAATATAAAGTTACCTCTGGTGCCTTTACTGTGTACATATAAAGTGTCCTTTGGACCCCCTATTGATATACAATATAAGGTGACCTCTAGCCTCTGGTCCACCTACTGATTACAATATAAGGTTAGTTCTTGTCCTACTACTGATGTACAATAGAAAGTGACCTCTGGTCTTCATTCTGATGTACAATATAATGTTACCTCTGGTCCCTCTACTGATGTACAATATAAGGTGACGTCTGGTCCCCCTACTGATGTACAATATAAGGTTTCCTTTGGTCCCCCTATTGATGAACAATATAAGGTTACCTCTGGTCCCTTAATGATGCACAATGTAAGGTGACCTCTGTTCCTCCGAATGATGTACAATATAAGGTGACCTCCGGTCACCCTACTGATGTACAATATAAGGTGACCTTTGGTCTCCAATTGATGTACAATATAATTTTACCTCTGGTCCGCCTACTGATGCACAGTATAAGTTGACCTCTGGTCCCCCTAATGATGCACAATATAAAGTGTTCCCTGGTCACATAAACTTTTTGTTACCTCTGGTTTCCACATGAAGATTATGGAAACACGCAGGGTCTTATATTGTACATCAACAAGGATTACATAGCTCACAAATTGAGTGAACGGTAATCTTTTGTTGTACATCATTACAATGTCACTGAAAGTTTTAAGTAGGCAAAAATTTAAAATTGTGGTATGTGTAGAATTGTTTTTAAATCCATTCCAAAAAAAAAAAAAAACGTTGCGACCCTAATTTTTTCATGGGGAAAAAGTGTGCAGTTTCTCAGAATTCTTTAAATGTATGTAACTGGAATTTGGAGGATAAGTCAACTTGCTTGTCTTTAATTACAGTATACGTATCAATCCAAAAGTAAACCACACCTGGTGTATCTTTTAAAGTTTTATTTTTTTAATGAGTTTTGATTGGTTTATGAATTTGATGTGTAATTTCCAATCCTAACGTTCGCAATACAGGGTGAACATCTTCTTTGTAAGATAAATAAAATACAAAGAAGATAAATAAAATCAGAGGTTTGCTAAAAAGTGTTAAATTGATGAGGTCGGCTTTTGAGACCTAACCTCACAAGGAAGACAAAGGACACATAAAATAATTATTAACATATAATTATTCAATTACATTAAAGTATCGGTGAAATATGCTAGCGAAATGAAGAGGTAGGGGGTGGTAGAAGGCAAGATCTTCCTCCTCCCCCTTCTTGTTAGAAATCTGCGAATGCAGAAACTTGATGTCGTTTACTCTGAGTCGCTTACTATTAGTAAGGAGATCTGAGGTTAGGCACTGTGTTATATAGATACTATAACCTTACATGGAATAGTAAAATCATAGGGGAGACCACAGGTCACTTAACGTAATCCATAGATGTTCAACTCTTATACATCATATATCCTATAATATTGCAGTTTATTTTGCTACCCCCCTCCCCCCATCTTTTCTAATACCCATTGGTTATTACTTTGAAAAAAAAAACAAATTTTCTGGGGGGGGGGGTTACACTGTAAAGGCTTCACAGTACTACGATTTATTCTTTTTTCACTTTACGTATGCATCGCACTACATTTTGAAGCGGAGAAAACAGGTCCGATAGTCGTGAACTGAGCAAGGGACTTAAGGTCCTATTTGAGCGTACGTTTTATTCTTCTGCGCTCACAACAAGGACTATCTAGCTGTATGGAAATAAACACAAAGGTCAGATTTCTTAATCATTCTCTTAATCAATAAAATCACATGAATTGAAATTATATCTTTACCAATTTTAGCTTTATTCTTTACTTTTTAGCTTTTTAGCCATTTTAAGGCCCAGGAGTTTACTGATTAGTGTCTTATGTTCGTCTGTCATCTATAAACTTTTCACATGTTTACATTTATCCGAATTAATCCTTATTTGAACAAATAATTTCAAGATAGTGAATTTATATTCTACAGTATACTTATCTGCTAGGTTGTAAAAATCAATTGTTTTGTAGAGCTTTAGTGTATTGTTTGTCATATATTTATATACGAGATGGATATCAATATGGTCATCTTTTCTTCAAGAAATTGTGCAAAAAAAGTTTGAATTGTCTGTGGGAATGATCAACATCGAACTTGCTGAGCCTTTATACTGAAAGTGACTTAATTTCTATTCTGGCATTGTTCCGCTCTTTAACTGGCTAGATTTAAAATTCCATACAATTCCGAAAAAAAAGTTCCGTCCTGATACTCTCAAGAATTCCTAAGGATTCTGCAGAAGAAGATTTCCGTGGAATTCCATTGAATTTATGATGGAATTCCATGGATCTTTCGGGAAATCTATATTAAGGGTCTCTCCGTTATGGGAAGGAAAATCGAGTTTTACCGCAGTTCTGATATTTTTTTTACACTGTAAAAGGATATCATTTGATACCCTTTTACATTGTGACAGAATATCATTTTTAATTTCACTGTTTGTTTCAAGAAATAAGCAAGGCGTTTAATTTCATGTTTCTCTGAGAAAATGAAAACTTACCATGTTCTTCCCCGTAATTTTTGAACAGTATCCTAATGCTGTACACACTATACACATCTCCCAGATCCACATACCACCACACTGTCTTATATGTTGACGAAGAACCTATGCTTTCAGATTTCATACAAGTCTTGTTGTCTCTATCAACTGCATTACTAGCCACGCAGTTCGATACAGGAAGACACGGATAAGATGAACTTTGTTCCGATCTCTTACCATATGACAAGTCAACTTAAAAACAAAACACATAAATATATGATAACAATTTAAATTGATGTCGTTTAAAAAAAAACGACTGCTATACGTGTACCATATGGAAAACCGTTGCTACAGGCTTGTATCAAACTGTGTTTGGATTGTTCCATATCAAATTATGTACCAAAGCCTTGATGTACAAAACTACACAGGCAACTTAGCCACATATGATTCTCATACAAGTATCATATGATTCTCATATGATTGGTTTCATATGAGAATCATAGAAAAAAGGGCATCATATGTGAATCATATGAAGCAAATCATATGATTTACATATGATCCACATATGTGAATCATATGAAAATAACTACATATGATTCACATATGAATGATCTAAGCGTGTTTCAAGCCATTTACATATGAGAATCATATGAAAAAGGCATCATATGTAAATCATATGAAACACTTATGTGTATTCTCTTTCAATATTTTTCACATTCTTGTACACATTTAAAAATCAGATATTTCTGCTTTAGATGAAAATTCATTACATTACAATGATATATCTTCATTGGTTACATATTTTAAAATATCTTATAATGCTTACACAACGTTTTTGATAAAGTTATTTTCATCAAGAGAAATAACTTATTTTTCACAGTGTACATAATAAACAAGAGAATATACAAACAAGTCAGTAGCATTTGTCGATACATGTATTTAACATATTCTAAAATGAGTACAAATTACAAGTTTTAAGCAAAATGATTAAGTACAGTACAGGCAACGCGGATCCCGTATTTCCCGCGTCCCCGCCGCGGTATAATCACAACGCGGTATTTGGCTAGGTAGACAGGTAAACCGCGTTCCCTCCGCGGGA